TGATTTTTATACTTGTTTTCAGCTCGATGGAAAATGTTCCGTCAAACTTGGACTATTCTCCAGGAACGAGCCGTCAGCTGGCGTCCAGGGGTGTTTATGAGCTGCCTTGTTCAGCCGAACGTCTCCGTTGTTTTGCCTGTGAGAAAATGAAATTCTTGGATTTGGTCTTTTTGGGCATCCCAAGGTTTGTCCCACGCTCAGCCAGCTCCAAGGCCTGGGGTTGGCGAGCAAAGCAACAGTGCTGAGCATCATTTCTGCCTTCCCACTTGAGCCGTGTAGTGCTTTTATTTTTCACCCATGCCTTTTACTGCCCTGCTAAGCCTGACGCACGTCTCCGGGTGCAGTACCTTTCTGCATCAGGAAAACCCTTCGCCCTGCCTGAGCAGGATGCTCCTGGTCCTCACCTCTCCCTCCTTTTTTAGAAGCCCAAACCCCGGCGCTGCTGGCAGGATGAGGCTGTACATGGTGGCCATCACCGCGTCCAACTGTAACAGTCTGCCGGTGGGTCCTCAAGCGCTGCTGGCTCGGCACAGGCACTTGGGGAGACGTGGTAGTTCGGTGGGGAAGCGGTGGGGTGGTCAGTCCCTCCGAAACGAGGGCTCAGCCCAGCAGAAGAGGGTTTTTTCTGTGCTCACAAGGCAGCTATCGCTTCTGCTTCCTGACATCCAGGAAATGCCGTTGCAGTTCCCTGTGGGGGCTCATCCTGCCTTCCCTGCGGCGTGGCAGCGAGCTGGGGAGCGTTACCTCCACGTTCATCCCCATCAACGCAGCATCTGGGGAGGGTGGAAATGCCTCCGGCTGCAGCAAGACAAGAGCTTTGATCTGACACCCGTCAGGCTGTGTTTTGCCCTTGGCCAACGTGGTCTGTTGGGTGGGTGGCATGGCAGGGGCTTGGCGTTGGGGAGGACAGGAGGTGCACAGTAACGCCTGCGGGGTTGGAACGTGGACCTCACTGCGTGGGGGCCTTGATTTTGCTCCGTGGGCTGTGAGGCTGATGGCGGGGAGGGGCAGTGGGCACCCAAGGTTTCCTGGGCTGGGTAAAGAAAAAACATAATTGTTACTACCTTCTTTCTCCCCCTTTGAAATCTCATTTTCATTTGCTTTCTTTCCGAGGTGCACAGTAACGCCTGCGGGGTTGGAACGTGGACCTCACTGCGTGGGGGCCTTGATTTTGCTCCGTGGGCTGTGAGGCTGATGGCGGGGAGGGGCAGTGGGCACCCAAGGTTTCCTGGGCTGGGTAAAGAAAAAACATAATTGTTACTACCTTCTTTCTCCCCCTTTGAAATCTCATTTTCATTTGCTTTCTTTCCCTCATAAAGATTAAAGCCGTGAGCCTTCCAGGGCGAAGCTCTGCTGCCGTGCAAACACTGGGCTACCAGAGCTCGGTCTCCGGAGAGCAAAATTCAGGGCTCTGTAGCACTGGGATCCTGTGGGTAAGGGGACAGTGAATGTAGCAGAGGAGTCGTGATTCCTGGCTCTGGTGTTTTCCTGCAGTGACTTGCAGTTGCTTGCTGGCTGCTGCCTCAGACGGGGAGCCACAGCAGCGAGTGGCCTTTGGTGCCTCTGCGACAGGGAACTTGTCTTGCGGAGTTGTAACCTGTGCAAAATTAGCCCAGCTCCAAATTCCCCAAAGCTCTCCCTGCTGCAGTTCCCTTTACTCGTTCCTGTCCCTCCCCAGCTGTGGAGGGGCCGGTTGCTTGGAGGGGTCTGGGCTTGTGCGCAGCATTTGGCCTGGGCAGCCACAGCATCTCCACCCTGCCAGCATGAACAGGACGCTTCTTGCTCTCTAACAGCAAAGAAGCTACTTAGGGTACAAAACTTTTCCTCTGGGTGCTAAACTTTTCTACCTCAAGTCCTTGAGGCCACCGAGGCTTCTCTCCTCCATGTCTTGATGGAACTCAGTTCTGGGGCAAGGCCCAGTGGAAAAGAGATGGGGATTTCCTTGGGCTTTGGGGGAAGATGTCACAGAGCCAGGCCAAGACTGGCCAAGATTGAAGAAGGAGCTTGTCAGCCCCATCACTGCCTGCAGCTGCGTGGCTTGGTACGGGGAGGGAGAAGCAGCACGGCTCGGGGGAAGGAATGGGATGAGACAGAGGTGGCTTAGGTGGACATTGTTCTGAATTTGGTTTCGCTCTGGGGTGACCCGTCTCCTGGGCTGCATCACCAGCAGCGTGGCCAGCAGGTCGAGGGAGGGGATTCTGCCCCTCTGATCTGCTCTGGTGAGACACCCCC